CGACTAATATATATTGTTTTATAACAATGACGAGATTGTATTTATTTGAACTTCATACGACTGTTTAACGTTTTATCATTGTTATTATTTTTATCTGGTTCAATAGGTTAGCATAAATGCGTACGTGACTACTTTTCGTGGTCCAAAATAAGGACATTCCAATCCATTTAACTAACTACAATTAAGAACTATACTTTTCTATATTCTGTTTTTCTTTCTAATTCTTCTAATATTATTTTACTTCTTCGAGTATTAAAATATTGTTTACACCTTCTTTAATGACTTAGTCTCAACACTTAAATATTCCAAAATCAACTGCATCAACTAGGTACTTGTGAATTTTTATCACGAGAATTATTGTTCGGATTTATCATTCGATCCCTTTTTTGTTAGAAACAAGAAGATTGTTCCTAATGCAAGCATTTTCTTTTCTTCGGAAATTAAATATGCATCGCTGATAATTGTGAACGAAGTTCCCTAGCGTTCATCTCGAGGAGCCCTTGGCTGGAAAGTTCAAAGAAATCGCGTCCGTATCGATTCAAGTTATGCTTATTAGATGGTATTTTCATCCAAGGGAATTTTTGCCCTCGGATTTTTCTGTGTATTCCTCCATCTTGACAGCGAACCGACAGTATCGGCCTTCCGTAATTTGATCAGCTTCCATCGAAGCGTCGATATGTTTCTATTTCCATCGAACTGTATTCTCTTGTTGCACCAGCTCGCGTCGTTGCTTGTAAACCGTTCTACCGACTTGTCAGAGTTGGACATATTTTAATCGAATAACGAATACAATTTTATTCGAAGAATTTATTCGAGATATTTCCAGGATGAAATTTTATTTGAAATATTGAACGAATAAAATTTTCTTCGAAGAATTTATTCGAAATATTATACGTATTAAAATTTTCATCGAAGAATTTATTCGAAATATTATACGAATAAAATTTTACTTCAAGAATTTATTTGAGATATTATACCAACAAAATATTGTTCAAGATATCTCTCGAATAAAATTGTATTCGTAATATTACGTTGAATAAAATTTTCTTTGAAGAATTTATTCGAAATATATGAATAGAAAAGTTTTTCCAATAAAATTTTATTCGTAGCATTGCTCGAAGAATTTCATCGAAATATTATTCGAATAAAATTTTATTCGACGAATTTATTCGACATACTACTCGAATGAAATTGTATTCGAATAATGTCGAACTCTTCGTCGTGCACAGTCTCGGTGAACCGAGACTACCTTCGGTAGACGTATTTGTATTGGGTTGGCAGGAAAGTAATTTCGGTATTTCAATGTTAAATAAGACTCAGTTTTTTCTATACAAGAAATGAACTTTAGTCAGTCAAATATTTTCCATTCTGTTCGATGACTTTTTGCCATCTTCCTGGTAACTTCACGATTCCACGCTCAGAAAACTTCTGATCCTTATCAGTAAAAAACTCAATCAAGTGCGATTCGAGGCTGTCGTTATTATTGAAACTTTTACCATTTAAAAAGTTTTGTAAACTTCGAAATAAATTGTAATCCGATGGTGCAAGGTCGGGACCGTATGGAGGATGTGACATCACTTCCCAACCAAGCTCCAATAATTTTGTACGCGTTGCTAAAGATATGTGAGGCCTCGCATTATTGTGGTGAAACACGATTCCTTTGCGATTTGCCAATTCTGGCCTTTTCACTTTAATTGCTTACTCCAATTTCATAAGTTGTTGGCAGTAAACATCTGAATTGATCGTTTGGTTGCTTGGAAACAGCTCAAAATACACAACACCTTTATAATCCCACCAAATTGACAGCATGATCTTTTTCTGATGTAATTCAGCTTTCGATATGGTTTGCGCTGGTTCATCACGCTTGCACCATGACCTTTTTCTATTAATGTTACTG